TCTGGGGATACACAAATGATCCATCCCTTATACTTCCCTAACCCACAGCAAGCATCTGCAGTAACATTGAAACCTGAACATACACAAGCATAGAACAGCATTATATAATTTCTACGTTGATCAGATATCTGATAAAATTGAACTCACAATCTTACCATAGCGCTCGTGATTCTTGATTATATCCATGGAACCTTCAAAGACATCACAAAAAATGATGTTTGCATCAGGAAGCTCATGATTAAGGTCCACAGTCATGAATCTCATGAGAAAATTGAACTCCAAGATCATGTCATTTATCTCCTTGACACACTCCCCATTCGTGCTGTTGAACTGCCACAAGTAGTGAGGAGCACAACCAATAGGTGCCAACCCCATAACTACCACTCTCCTCACATTTAGATTGTACAAGTTCTGTTTCATCAAATTTTCCAAATCAGCAACCCCCTGAAGCCAAAAATCCAAGTAACAAAACGATAAAGCATGATAACATAATAATCACCTTAATTTCTTGTCTCATTGTTGATGCTAAGAACTGGTTGAAACTCCATGGAAGGTACAGATTTTGCACATTGGACACGTTGAACAGATAGTAATGTATGTAATCGTTTATCCCAATGGAAACGTAAAGAACCGAATTCGAGATGAGCTCATTTGCTCTATCCTCTCCCATGCTTAGAATAAACTGCTGAATAGTATCAGTGAACTGCTGAATTTGTTGAGTAAAGGAAATGTGCTGTCCCTGAATCAAGCAAAGATGCTATGGATGAAACAGTTGATGTGTTTTTTTTTTTTCTTGCATAAGATTAAAATTTAATCCCTGAAGCGTACCAATTCTGAACCACTTGAGAAAATAATCCCAGCACCGGCTGATGCATAATTCACTCCCCGGACCATGTCTTCAATTCTCCCAGCCTGTCCCAGATAACTTGGAACGAACGGAAGCCCGAGGCGCAAGGCTGATGAAATCTCAGAATCAACCCATTACCAATCAAAGGAAAAACAAACCCAACAAGAAAATGCCCAACCCCCCAAACACATCCAAGAAACCAAGAAAGAAAACTCCAAAGAGCTGAATGAAGGAGAAAAAGAATCAAGAAAGAAACAAAATTTACCCAGATAATCAACGGGGATTCTCCCATTGCAGAAACGACCGGTAGGGCGGTGCGTGTCGAAATCTCTACCATAGGGAGGGTGATCGGCGCGAGCAAAGGTACCGAGGTAGTTGTTGTTGCCACAATCGACGGAAGAGTCGCCGATGACAAAGAGTGCAGGGACCATAGGAGGAGAAATTGGGGGTTCTGTTGGTGACGGAGATGGAGAGACTGGAACAGATTGCGGCGGTGTACCGGGGTTGGCGATGACGGTGATGTTGTTAGATGAGAAATTGTAGATCTCTGTAGGGAATCGAAGAGCTTTTGACTGTGAAATAATGGAGGAAGTGGCGACGGAGAGAAGAAGAAAAGGAAGCACAAGATTGATCGACATGGTGGCTTCCAGTTCCGAAGAGGAAGAAGAAAATCGGTTTAGGATTTGGCGGGTAAGGAACAATTTATTGAATTTGTGCAAATTCCATTTTGTTATAAAATCCAGAGGAACCCGATTATGAGTCCAATTCACTTGGGCTTTTGTCCTGTGTTTGGTCCAAGCCCATT